TGCTTTGGGGCAGGGGGAGGCTTCTGGCAGTCCTAGAGCTGCATCTTGCTCCTAGAACCCCTCTCTGTGCTATATTCTGGGGTTTCATGGCTCAGGTGGTGGTCCTGGGGGGTGTGTGGCCCCCATAACACCCTCCCTTCATCCCTTGGTGGGGCCAGCCTGGGGCTACTGGGGGTCTGGAGAGCTGAGTTGAGGAGCTGACCCTGCCTGGAGTGAGCAGTCCCAGCCCCAGCTTGGGCTATGCCAGCCTGGCAAGCTGGGCCCTGTGGGGGCTCATGTGCTTTCTGTCTCTGCAGTGGCTTCAGCATCGAGCTGGCATCTGCCCTGACAGTGGTGATTGCCTCCAATGTTGGCCTCCCCATCAGCACGACCCACTGCAAGGTAGGTGGGGGTGGCAGGAGGGGATGGTGCCAGCACGGGGTGAGTTTGGCTTCCCCTGAATCCTAGTGCTGAAAAAGCTGAGCTGTGTGGGAGGTCTCAAAAAATGGGCTGCTGGCCGGCCTTCAACTCCCAGCTCTGCCATTTGCATCTCAATGGGGTGGCATCGGCTGCCCATGGCTGGGTGAAGGGGCACTTGAGGGGGTGATGAGAGAACAAAACCCTTTTGATGGACCTTTAGGCTCTGCCAAGCAGCCATGGGAACCAGGCTCTCCACTGCTCTGGGATGGTAGCTCCCCACCCTGCACTCTGCTGGGTCCCCAAGGGCTTGAGCAAGACCCTGGGCATCCCTGGGAGGGGCTGTGGAGTGGTGGACACGCATGGGGAGGTACCCCATTCCCCTGCCGTGCTGAGCACTGCCTCGTCATGCAGGTGGGCTCGGTGGTCTCTGTGGGCTGGCTGCGCTCCAGGAAGGCAGTGGACTGGCGCCTCTTCCGCAATATCTTCATGGCCTGGTTTGTCACTGTCCCTATCTCGGGTCTCATCAGCGCTGCCATCATGGCTGTCTTCAAGTACATGGTCCTGAGGCCTGAGAGCACTGGGGCTGCTCCTGCTACCCTGCTGCCGCCTTCCCTCTAGGAGCAGGAAGGCTTATCCCGGCGTGGGATGGGGGCTACCATCATCTCTGGGGCTTCCTCAGTTCTGCATAGTGTTGTCACTGAATCTAGGAGCAGGAAGGCTTATCCCGGCGTGGGATGGGGGCTACCATCATCTCTGGGGCTTCCTCAGTTCTGCATAGTGTTGTCACTGAAGTTTTTTGTTTTGGTTTTTTTTTTTTTAATATAAATGTCTTGGCGCTAAGTTTCTAGCGGGTGATGCAGTGCTGAGGCTCTGCCCCCCCATGTGAGCCTCCTGTGCTGCGCTGTAGCTTTAGATTAGCAGTTATGGGAGGCCACTTAATTCTTATTTTTAACGACTTAATTCAGATCCCCTGGCAGTGATCGCTCCTTCTGTAAGGACCAGGGCTGGTCCTCACCCCTCCTGGGAGGGCTCAGGGGCTGGGGGAGGCTGTCCCCCCACTGCAGGCTGTGCTGTGTTCAGCTTTGCCTCCATCTCTGTAGTGCTGCAGCTACCAGGCACTGCCCACCCATCCTGCTGGGGGGGTGCCTGGGGGTACCCCCTAACCCCCCCCTCACTGCTGCTACCTCGGATTCAATAAAGATTTCCTTCGTACATCAGTGCTGCTGGTGATCCTGGGTGCTGAGGGGGGGGTGCTGGGGTGGCTCTGGGTGCTGTCCCCTCACACGTTCTGCCCTGTGGCTTCTCTTCTGCCCTTCCTTTGACCAACGCCCTGGGGCTGGGGTGCCTGATAAGAGCCCCACATGTCCTCTGCTGTCATGGGACCAGCTGTACCCCAGCTCTTGGGGGGGGTGGGTTATCAGGGCCCCGCAGCTGGGGGACAGGTCCTCACCCTGTTACCAGCCCTGGGGGCAGGAGCTGCTCCTGTCCCTTCCACGTACCCAGTGATGTCCTGGGGGTCAAGGCCAGGCCTGGGGACCCACGTCAGTGGGTTGGCACTGGAGTGTTGCAAGAGCTGCCAGTGAGGGCCAGGACTGGCCCTGGGCCGGGGTGCGGGCAGGCTGGACACCCAGGGGTCCTTGGGGGTGCTGAGCTGGGGCTGGGGACACAGGGCTGTGGGGACCAAGAACGGGTTGGGGATGTGCATGGAGGCTGCGTGGGGGTGTCCCCCACCGGAATGGGGAAGGTGATGAGTCCCACGGGGCTTGGTGCTGCTCCGTGTCCTGCGGGACATGGGTGCCCCCTCCCGTCCCCGTCCCTCCGGTGGTGTGAGGTGCCGCGAGTGGGCGCTGAGCCGCACAGACCGACACCCCCCCCGCATCCCCCGGGGCGGCCTCGGGGCGGTGGCGGGGCCGGTCCTTGACCTCGGTTAATGATTCGCCGCCGGGCGCTGCCAGCGGGGCGATGGGCAAACAACGGCCCGGGGGCTCGGGGCCCACCGGGGCCGTGGGAGGGCGCTTCCCCTCGAGGGGCGGGCTGGGCACGGCGTGGGGGGGCCCTGGGGGGCATCGCCG